CCGAAGCGGGCCTGCCGTCGAATGCCGCGGCGGCCCCCTGCGCGCCCCGCGCTCTCCCCGCGCGCGCGCGCTTTTTTTCCTGGGCGCAGGCCCAGCCCTCTGCGGATCTGCCCAGGAGGAGGAGGAGGAGGAGGAGGAGGAGGAGGAGGAGGAGGAGGAGGAGGAGGAGGAGGAGGAGGAGGAGGAGGAGGAGGAGGAGGAGGAGGAGGAGGAGGAGGAGGAGGAGCAGGAGGAGCAGGAGCAGGAGCAGGAGCAGGAGCAGGAGCAGGAGGAGGAGGAGGAAGAGGAGGAGGAGGAGGAGGAGGAGGAGGAGGAGGATGAAAAGGAGGAGGAGGAGGAGGAGGAGCAGGAGAAGCAGGAGGAGGAGGAGGAGAAGCCTGGCCCCCGTCCCCTTCCTCGCCCTCCTCTCGGGGGTGGCCAAGAGGGGGGTGATGACCGGGGGGGCCCTGGCGGGGGCCACGATGTCTCCCCAGACGTCATGGCCCCCCTCGTCTCCCAGCGCGTCCCTTGGCCCCCTCCCCCCTTGGGCCGCGCGCGCGCCTCGGGCCATGACTTGCGACTCCCCTGTCGGACCCCCCCCCCTCTTGAACGCCCCCCCCACCCCCTCCACCGCTCTGCTCCCTCCTCCCGCCCTCGTGTATTCAGTCACGCGGGGACTCAGGCAGTCAGTTGACAACGCTCCCGTGGTGTCTGGGGTCTTCGTTCTGAAGATGCAGTGCCCCGCGTCCGCTCCTCCAGCTGCGCCACTCCTCCCTCCTGCCGCCGCTTTCCGCGTGCCCACTCGGGCACACCGCTCACACATCCCGTGGCCTCATAGGGAGCTCCACCGAAGGCGCCAATGGCAGGCTTCGCATGACGGCACCGCCCCCGTTTTGGCCCCCACCCACCCCGCACGTTTCGTGCCCATGCAGGAGGCTCCACCGAAGGCGCGAATTGCAGGGTTCTCAGGGCGGCACCGCGCTCATTTCGGCGCCCCCCCCACACGCCTCGTGGCTCCATGGGGAGCTCCGCCGAAGGCCCAACCAGGGCTCGCATGGCGGCACCGCGCCCGTTCCAGCCCCCCTCCCAGCACGTTTCGTGGCCCCATGAGGAGCTCCACCGAGGGCCCAAATGGCAGGGCTCGCATGCGTGACCACGCCCATTCGCCCCCCCCCCCCCCCCCCCCCCCCCCCCCTCACACGTTTCGTGGCCTCATAGAGAGGGTCAACCGATTGTCCCAAATGGCAGGGTTTGCGTGGCGGCACCTCACCCATGTCGGCACCCCCACACGTTTCGCGGCCCTCATCCGCGCTGAGCCAGCCAGCCAGTCACCCCCAGGTTTCATCCCTTTCTCGGCGCCCTACTTCCAAGGAGTGGGTCATACCTTGCGTTGCTCCAGCTGCATGTGGTTGGAGCACTTGCCAGGCAAATTTTTGCTCCTCGTATGTTCTGGCCAGCGGGATGAGCCCGCATGTCGGGCACCTTGGATTGTGATCGTACGTTCACTGTCGCACCCCCCCGGCTGTAGCTTGCACGACGAGCTCTTTCGAGGACATCAGACCGACCGGCCGACCTGCCCACATCGCTCGCCCTGGTACCCCCCGAAACGTCTTGGGGATGCGCAAACCATTAAGGAAACGCCAGATGGAGGACCCCCCTCCCGCCCCCTGCCCCCCTTCCCTGACAGAGCCACCTTGGCGACCCCCCCCAAGCAGAGCTAAAGCTGTTGCTTAGGCTCAGAGTTGAAGCGCTTGCTGAGGCTCCTAATAGTTCACACGCCGGATCGGCGGACATATATATATATATATATATAGGTATATATATATGTATGTTTGTATACACATATACATATATGTGTGGTGCATCATATGTGGTATAACCCATGTGTCGCAATATATACTTTAAAATCCATGCGGTGCAACCCGTCTGATGGAATACATGTTGTGCAATCTAGGTTGACCGATCTATCCTGTGCAATCTACTTTGTGTAATCTTTGCGATGCACTATTTTTAGTGTCATCTACGCCGTGTTTATCTGAATGCAACCCATGCTGTGCGAAGCAACCAATGTAAAGCAAAGCGAAACAAGACAAAGCAATGCACAGCGCTACCAAACAATGCCAAGCAACGTACAGCAATGCAACGTAACTCAAAGCAATGCAAAACATGCAAAGCAATGTAGGTCAATGCGAAGAAATGCAAAGCAGCTCAACAAAGTCACTGTGGTGCAATCTAACGGCGGCGACGAGCAGCGACGGCGGCGACCAGGCGGCGACGGCGGTAACATAGCCGCCAGACCGACCGTCAGGCCCAGACGACGAGCGGCGACGAGGCGGCGACTGGGCGGCGACGGGGCCGCGACGGCGGCCACATAGTGGCCAGACCGACCGTCAGGCCCAGACGCCGGGCGGCGACGAGGCGGCGACGGGGCGGCGACGGTGGCCGCATAGCCGCCAGACCGAACTTCAGGCCCAGACGACGGGCGGCGACGAGGCGGCGACGGGGCGGCGACGGGGCGGCGACGGGCGGCGACGGCGGCCACATAGCGGCCAGACCGACCGTCAGGCCCAGTCCCTCAGAAAACACATAGGAAAGCGCCTAAGCGCAAGCACTCCCTGGGGAATGTGCATGCCCCCTTGGCCAGGCCAGGAGGGCGCCTCCACCGATCCTGGGCCCAGCATTGGTCCGGCCAAGATCGGCAGGGGGGTCACAGCGGAAGCCCTCCCCCCCGAGTGTCCAGGCGTGCCCCGTCCCGCTCCCGTTGTCATGCCGCCCCGCGCGCCCCTGCCGGTTTTCCGCGGCGCGCGCCCCCGATCTTCTAGGCCTCCCAACTTGGGGTCCGGGCAGGTGGGGTCGGAGGACCGCGCCGCCTCGCCGACGCATCGTCGATGCGGCTCGATGTGGAGCCCAATCTCCTCCACGCCAACGGCGCCGATGCGTCGCCGATGCATCTCCGATGCGTCGCCGATGTATCGCCGATGTGTCGCCGTGGCGCGATCCTCCGACCCCATCTGCGGGGGGGGGGGGGGGGGGGCGTTGGTCAAGGAACGTGCACGGAGGCCTTCGGACCCTGGAGGGTCCCGTCTCGGACGGGGGCGGCGGTGACATCCCTGGCCGGCCCACGAGTGGTGTTCCACCGGTTCCCAGGGCCCGGATTCCCCACCCGCTGGCCACTCCTCCAGGGCCTCCAACGCACGTGGACCCCATGGTGGGAGGCCTCCGTTCCGCAAAGCTGGCGCCGCGGGGGCCCGCCCGCGCCACCGCGCGCCGCCGGCCGAAGACGCGGCCTCGCCGACAGGGCGGCGCGCGGCCAGGGAAGCGTCCTGGCCGAGGGCGTGCGCGCGGCAGCGGCGCGGCAGCGGCGGCGGGGGGCCCAGGCGTCCCACGTCCCAGGGAGCCTCTGCGGGTCTGCCCAGGGGTAGGCCTAGGGGTAGGCCTGGGGGGTACGCCTAGGGGTGGGCCTCAGGTAGGCCTTGGGGGGGTGGGCCTAAGGGTACGCCTGCGGTAGGCATAGGGGGTAGACCTACGGGTGGAGCCCTAGGGCAGGCCTGGGGGGAAGGCCTAGGGGTAGGCTTTGGGCAGGGGGAAGGTGTGTGGGGCCGTGGGGCGGCGACTCGGCGCCGAAGGGCGGCCCTGCAGGGGGGCGGGGTCGGGACTCCAGGGGGGCCCCGTGCAGAACAGAGTCGGGGCCTCGGATGTCTGGGGAGGCGGGGCATGGAGGGGGCGGGTCGGCCTGCTCACAGGAGGAGAGGGCCCCGCGAGAGGGGACTTGTTCGCGGCAGCCGTTGGGACCGAATCCGTGTTTTTGCTCTCTTCTTCGTCTCCGTCTTTCTGTCTGTCTTTCTGTCTGTCTGTCTGTCTGTCTGTCTGTCTGTCTGTCTGTCTGTCTGTCTGTCTGTCTGTCTGCTTGCTGCCTGCTGCCTGTCTGTTTGTCTGTCGGTCTGTCTGCCTGCCTGCCTGCCTGCCTGCCTGCCTGTCTGTCTGTCTGTCTGTCTGTCTGTCTGTCTCATTATCATTATCATCATGATTCCCATTCTCATTATCACTACCGTTCTCATTCTGGATTATCAGCACCATTGCCACTCATCGTAACATCAGCATTTTCTTTATCGTTCTCGTTATCGTTCTCATGCTAATCACGATTAGCATCAGCATTGCCACTCTCATTTTCATGGTGCTTTTGATTTTCACTTAGCTGAACACCCCTGCGAGGGCACACACCGCCGCCCCATCGTGACATGCTCATTCTTTGACTTCTCTGCGGTTCGCTCGTATCCCTTTGCAGTCTGGCTCCTTATCTGTTTCTCTTGTCCTGACGGCTGGATACACCCGCAAATCGTGCCCTACATGCACAGCCACATTGTTGTGAAGTGGTCAGACATTCCTGGGGGCCCCATGCTTCGGCAATGGCACGTTGAAGGAGAGGTTTCCTTGTGAACTTTATGTGTGTCTCTTGGGAGGTCTTTCGGGGGCTCTGGGCGGAGTCTGATGCGGCCCTCCTCTCGGTGTATCGGTGGCATTCGGGGGGCTCGCCTGGGGCGTCTTCGGGCCTTTTCGACGTCAGCCCTCCCTCTCAGGAGGGGCCAGAACGCGCCGAAAAACTTGACCTATCCCCGGCTCGTGCTCTTCGTTCTTTCTCTCTGCTTTGTCCTCGCGCCAGCTGCTGCCTCCTCCTCCTTCTCCTCCGTAGCCATTTTGGCTCAAGGTTTTGCGTTTCCCCGTGAAACAAGTGGATACCGGTAGTCCGCGGCTAGACCCCTGGTCTTTCATCGCTCCGCTGCGTGAGCCGCCAGGCGACGCAGCATTTTGTGAGCTCCTAGCGGAGCAAGTCCAGGCTGGCTCGGGCGATTTCGGAGTGTGTGGCCTGTGTGGCCTCGTTCGTGACGACGGCTCCCTGGGTGCCCTCCCCGTGCACACCATGGGCGGGGACCGCGAGCGGGAGAGGAAGGAGAAGCGCGAGAGCAGGGCCAAGACATCCTCCAAGGGCGAATTCTGTACTCCTCTTCGGCGCGCTAGGGGCCATGCTCTCACTCCTCGTGATTCTGATGGGATGTCTGCATGCTCCGCGGGTACGACTCCGCCCGCGACACCGAGGGCTGGGACGCCTGGGCATGGTTCGCAGCGCTCCCGCAGCGACCGTGGTGGCCCCGATGAGCTTCGCGACGAGGCTCGCGCCGCGGCTGCGGCGTTCACTCTGGAGAGCATGTCCCAGATCGACCTCATGCCCACGTTCCCATCGCAGGAGCTGTCAGGTGCTCCTGCTGGCAGCGGCCTCCCTCCCTGCGAGGGGGTCCCGCAATCGTGGCCTCCGCCGCCTGCTCGAGAGGCTGATCCTTCTCGTCTGGATGCTCGCGGCGGCGGCGCTCATAGGGGGCCCTCCTTGGCGTGCTGTGCGTGCTGAGGAAGCTGCGCCCGCTCCTGGAGGCCCCTCTGGTCGTGCTGCGGGGGCTTCATCTCTGGACCCCTGGGCTGTGTCGCTGGCGCGGAAGGAGCTGCAGGCGGCTCATGACGCGGCCTTCAAAGAGTTCCAGTCCAGCTGCATGGCCGAGATGTCTCGCATCAGCATGGCTTCGATGCGGGCGACCCTCCCGCAAACCCTCTCCAAGGCGACGGGCCCGCTGTCCAAGCGGTTCGACGAGCGGGTGGCCCAGCGCATGGACGCCTTCTCGGCTCGCCTGTAGCAGACCGAATCCAAGGTTGACGCGGTCTCCCAAGCTGCAGGAGGAGATGGGCCGCCGCCTCGCCAAGCTCGAGCATGAACTGGACCTGGCGAAAGCCTCCCCTCCTGGGCACTGCCGAGTGGGACAGGCCCAAGGATTACACCTTCTTCGTCATCAACGCCAAGGAGGAAGTGGCTCTTCTTCATGTTCAGGCTGCCATCGCCGATTGGCTTCAGGCAGCGGGCTACTCCTTGGATTCTGAGTGCAGGTTGGAAGGCCCTCAGTTGGGCAAGCAATACGTACTCCGGATGCTGGGCCCTCATGCGGCGACTCTGTAAACTCGTCTCTGTCATCTTCAGGCTGCTCTCCGCTTGGGCCCAGGACGCTGGCGTGACTTCTATGGTGAGGCGCCTGGCAATCGGCGCATTCCTATATATGTTGGTTTGGACAAGAATCGATCGGACATTGCTCGTGAGAAAGCCTGCCGCCACCTTCGCGACGCTTTGTCCTCCACCTTCTCGTTCCCATACAAGCTCTACGTGGACCGGGACGCGGGCGTTATCTCTTACCAGTGGGAGCCGCTCGCAAGGATCACAGTTTCTCCTTCGGCAACGCCATCAATGGCCTGGAATCGCAACTGCGTGGCCGACATCGGCGTTGAGCTCTCCCGCCTGCAGGAGGTCGCGCAGTCCACCTTCCAGCCGAAGGTCGTATCGTGGTCGGGGTAACACGTTCGTGGGCGAAACTTGTGTGCGATATGGAAGTTGGAATTGTCGGGCGCTCTGTCATCGCACGGGAGCTGGCACTAGGCGTCGCCTCCAGCTTGTCTCTGAGATTGTGCGCCCCGACACCATCTTCGCCCTGCAGGAGACGCATGGAGACTGTGACGCCGCGAGGGAGGTCTGTTTTCACGCCAGGCTGGAGCAGGACACTTTTGCGTCATATCTTCCAGGTTGGCGGTGTTTTGACTCTGGTCCCGCGGCTCTCAGGGCCCCGAGCGTTGTCGATCCTTGAAGAGGAAGGTCCCTTCCAGGTCCAGGGCAAGGTTCTTTTCTTGGAGATTCGGAGCTCTGAGTTCACCCTCCTCCACTGGAATGTCCATCATTTTGAAATCCCTCCTGCTGCGCTGGAGGCTGTCCGAGTGAAGATCTTGCGCCAGGCCGAAGTTGTTCGGGGTGACCCGTTTCGGTTTGGCCTGATCCTCACGGGTGATTTCAATATTGATTCGAGCGTCCGTCGGCAGGCCCGAGCTGGCGATGCCGTCTGGAAGCGTATTTGGCGACAACTCACTGAGCTCTCTCCTGAAGGCCCGACCCTGTGGCGCCCTGGGACCTCTTCGGCGTCCGCGGTGGACCGGGTTTTCTCTGCCCCCCCCTTGGATCTTATGCGAAGGTTTCCGGCAAGCGTCTTGTGCGCGCGGGCCCGAACAACTTTTTATTGCTGGGGTCTCGGACCACTCCCCGATTTTAGTTCGAATGATGAGGCGCCGCTCCGGTTCCGTCTCCCCCCGTCCCCGTCCCCTGCCCCGCCAGGTGGTGTCCGACCCTTCCTTCCTTTCTCTTGCCGAAGATTACGAGCGGCTCATTGATTTCTCGAGGTGCGAGGCCCCTGAAGCTCTTCATTCTGGCACCCTTTGCAGGCAGGTTGCGGCGAAGGCGGTCCGCGACCTTCAGCTAGCCACTGCCCCGCGCTCGCTGTCGTTTCGCGCTATGGTGGCGCGGTCTATTGCCAGAGCGGTCGCACGGCAGGACGTCGAGCTTGCTCGTGTCCTGTGGGCTCGCCGCCCGTGGGCGCGCGATGTGATCGAGGTCAGAGAATGCTCAGGTGTGGGTCGGCCTGGACAGTTTGATGTGCGTCTCTCCGGCCCTTCCTCCTTTTCCCCCCTTCCACTCCCCCCTGCAACAGCAAGAGCATCGGCGGTTCGGGCAGGGCCTCGAGCAGCAAGCAGCCAGCGAACTACGCCCTGGTCAGCAGGCGAGAATTTTCAAACGGAAGGCTGCAGCGGCTCGGCGCGTTCGGCTTTGGCCCTCGCTCGGGAGACGTAACTTTCTGGCGGGGGTTGTCACTTCGGAGTCGGCGGGGGGTGGGTCGGTCGCTACGTCTCTTGAGCGAGTGTCAGATGCTCTGAATCAATACTGGGCCCCGATCTTCGGCGCGTCCCACTCCCCCCCCTCGCGGGGCCGAGACATCTGCCCAGAAATTTGCATGGGGTAACCTGGATCTTCGGGACCTTCCCCCGCCATCGCGGAGTTCTCTGTCGACGTTTCTGGACAGGGTCCTGGGCTCTGCGCCTGGCCCTGATTGGCTCCCTTTCTCGTGTTGGAAACACGGTCGCGGGCCCGAGATTCTGCATGAAGTCCTCCTCTGGGTGCTCTCAGGTAGACGTGTCTCGCTGGATTCCGCGCTGCCATCCAATTGTTTATCCCTGAGCCCCTCCCTGGCAGTCTAGAGGATGGCGAAACTCTGATTAGGGCGTCTGCGGATGTGCGCCCGCTCGGGCTTAAGAACACCTGCAACAACGTGATTGCAGGCGCGCTGAATCGTTCCGCGACAAAGGCTATCCAAGCCTTGGCCGCCCCTTCGCAAAGAGGTTTCATCCCTGGAAGGAATTTCTTGAATAAGATTCTCGGCCTCGACGGGGTGGCTCGTGAGGTGAACATCGAACACTTCTCCCAGGCCTTCCCTCCTCGCCTTCGACTTCTCCCAGGCCTTTCCCTCTGTCTCCCAAGAGTGGATGAAATCTACGGTCGAACTTGCCCCGATCCCCCGAGGTTTTAAGCGTGCCGTAGACGTCTTCTATCATGCGAACCCCTGCGTCACGGTCTTATGTGACCGTTCGATCTCTGTCTTGTGGATGGGGTCGGTCGTGCTCCAAGGCTGCCCGCTTAGCGGTGCCCTGTTTATCTTTTCTGTTAACCCTTTCCCCCGCGACCTCGAACTCCGCCTCTCCCGCCCTCGCCGCGGGCTTGTCAGGGCCTGCGCTGATGGTATCGGAGTGATTGTTTGGGGCTCCCGTGGCTATCTGCATGTGGGCCGTGTGTTCCGCTTGGCCAAACGTATTGGGGCCCTGGTCCTCACAGTTTTGAAGTGTGTTGCTGCCCCCCTCTGGGCTCCGATGTCGCAGGAGGTTGAAGACTGCCTCCGAGCCCAGCTGGTGTCAGCTAACTCTGATTGGCGGAATGTCAAGATTGCGGGGGAAACGCCGTACCTTGGATGTTTCCTCGGCCCAGGAGCGGCCCTGGAAGATGAGTGGGAAGCGCCGATCACCAAAGCGCTGAGCCGTGCGTCATCTGTCGGGGCAAGAGGTGCTCCGCACTCAGTTTCGGTCGCTCTGCGCAACGAGCGAATGCAGAGCGTGCTCAGCTACGATATGCAACTGTTTCCCCTCTCATGGCAGCGGTCTATGGTCGAACGTCGGCTCCTGTCGCGTCTGTTTCGCGTTCCTCACGCTATGCTCCGAAGGTGTGATTGGCCGCAGCTGGCGACGTGGAATGTCCCACAACCGTTGTCCCTTCTCCCGATCGCTGCTGCTGCCCTCATGCGGTCCTCCCTCGTCACCTGCTCGACGTGGAAATACGTGCTCTCCCGCCTGCGGTCAACGATGAATGCCCATGGCCAATTCGGCTGGTGGGAATCCCAGGAATTGGCCCCCTCCGTTCTGGTCTTCTCCTGCGATCTCCCTCTCTCTTGAGCGTGCCTCCTTGGGATTCCCATCGGACCGTCGCCTCCGAGCAGCGGGGGCCGAGGCTTTGGCGCTCTTTCAGAACCCGCCCCCTGAAGTGCTCGCCCGGCGCAAACCTAAATGGCAGAGTAAATTCGCTAGGATATTCACCTCTCGCTTGTTCTGTCAATCCCTCGAGCCTGTCATCATTGAGCGTGTGCGGAAACATTCTAGATGCAGGGTTGTGTTTTCGCCCGTCGAGTGGCAGTCGACTCGCACCGCCCTCGCATCGATTCCGAAGTCCTGGTCGTTTATTGTCCTTCGGTCGTGGCTCGGTGGCTGGGCCACGGGATCCAGACTTCAGCGTGGCGAAGGGTGCGTGTTCGTCTGCCACGGGGCTCCTGATCGCACCTCTCACTACCTCTCCTCCTGTACCCCGCTTCTCCTGTGGGCCTCCAGGGCTCTTCGAGCTCCCCTCCCGTCCAACATCCTTTTTCTTCTCGGCCTGCGAGGCCATCAATTCGCTTTCGTCGTTGCGTGCTATCACACTTATCGCATTGCCGCCAGCCGCGCTTCTCGGCTACAGCGTCCCCTCTCGTTCCTGGAGGCCTCCTCTCTCCCCGAAGCGATCGTTGTAGCTCTCCGTCTGCCGTTAGGTCGGCAGGCGCAGCGGTCGCTGCTAGATCGTGCGGCCCTGCTGCGAGCTGTTCACGCAGCTCGTCAGGCGCCTCCCGCCCTCTCACCGACGCATGCCGATGCCCACTGGCCGTCAGTGTGGGTCTCAGGCAGCGAGAGTAGTAGCAGTTGCAGTAGTCATAGCAGTAGCAGCAGTAGCAGTAGCTGAGGTTTGCTGTGGATGAACTCCCTTTCGGCACGCTCCGCCTCCTCCTCCTCCTCCTCCTCCTCCTCCTCCTCCTCTCGCGGTCGTTGCCTTTTTGCAGCCTCGCCGTCTCTCCGCGCAGGGTGCGCTTCGCCTGCCCTGCTGGCCTCTGGCGGCGCATTTCCCGCTTCCCGCCGCCGCTGCTGCTCGTTCGCCCGCCCTCGGCCTTCCTGTCCTCTGCCTCGACGAAAGCCCGCTGAAGACCAAGCCGTTCTTTTCCTCGACGCAAGCCGTTCTTTTCCTCTTCTGCCTCCCCGTTCGTTTCCTCGACGCGTCCTCCTGCCTTCCTGTTCCTTTCCTCGACGCGCCCTCCTGTCTTTCCTGCTCTCTTCCTCGACGCAAGTTCTTTTCCTCGACGCAAGCCCCCTCTGGGGTCTAATCCAGCTGCCTGCGGCAAGTCCCGCCTCCGTGCCAGTCCGGCGTGCTCGGCGGCTCGCTCCCTTTGAGGGGAGCACGGGAGGGCGTGCGCTCGCGAGTGGT